GTGGGCGGGGGGGGGGGGGGTGCCGCCGTCGGCAGCACGCACTGCCACCTCGAAGGTGCGCACCTCCTCGTAGTCCAGCGGGCGGAGGATGTAAACGTCTCCGTTTTCGGAGTTGACCAACACGTCCGGCTGCTCCTTGCCCTCCTGCCGCACCAGCGCGTAGTTTACGCGGGCGTTTTTTCCCGCATCGGCGTCCGTGGCGTTCACGCTGCCGATCCGGAGCATGGGGCTGTTGTTCTCTGCGACCGACATGGTGTAAATCTCCTGGGTGAACTCTGGGGGATTGTCGTTTATGTCCGATATCTGCACGAAGATGCTTTCCCGGGAGCTCAGCCGTGTGGCGCCCCAGTCCATGGCTGTGATGGTGATGTTATACTCCGCCATCCTCTCCCTGTCCAGCGCCGCGTTTGTTCTCAGTTCGTAGTAATTATCAAAAGTGGGGGTGAGACTGAAGGGCAAGTCCTCGTTGATCGCGCACTCCGTCCTGCCGTTGTCCCCGGAGTCCCGGTCCCGCACACTGAACAGGGCCACCACGGTCCTGGGCGGGGCGTCCTCCGGAATGGAGGCAGTGAGGGAGGTAAGCGCTATCTCCGGGGCGTTGTCATTCACGTCCAGGACCTCCACCTGCACTTTGCAATGCGCAGACAGCCCCCCGCCGTCGGTGGCTTTCACAACCATCTCGTGGTTTTTCGCTTCCTCGAAGTCCAGGTTACCCGCGACCCGTATCTCCCCAGTTGCAGGGTTCAGCTCGAAGAGCTGCCGAGACCTCTCTGATGTCTGGGTGAAGGCGTACCGCACTTTCCCGTAGGACCCTTCGTCGGGATCCATGGCCACGACTCTGACTACCAGCTGCTCCGGGGGGCTGTTCTCGGCCAGGCGCACCTCGTAGACCTCCCGACCGAACACCGGGATGTTGTCATTGGCATCCACCACCACGATCCGGACCTGAGCCGTGCCCGACCTGGGTGGCGAGCCCCCGTCGGTGGCGGTGAGGAGTAAATTCAGCTCTCGCTGCTCTTCGCGGTCTAGCTGCCGCTCTAGGACGAGCTCCGCGTATTTTGCTCCACCTTTCCCTGTTCCGAGAGCGAGGGAGAAATATGAATTGGACCCGAGGCTGTAGTTCTGCAAGCCGTTGCTGCCCACGTCCTTGTCCTGGGCGCTTTCCAGAGGGAAACGGGACCCGGGAGATGTCGTTTCGAGAATCTCTAAAACCATCTCCTTCTGCAGGAACACGGGGGAGTTGTCGTTCACGTCACGAACCTCCACCTCCCCTCGGATCAGCTGCAACGGATTTTCAAAGAATATTTTAAAGAAGAGCGTGCAGGTATCGCTCTGCGGACAGATCTCCTCTCGGTCCAGCGACTCCTTTGCCGTCAGGACTCCGGTGTTTTGATTGAGGCGGAAGAGCTGCTCGTTCCCCTGGGACACAACGCGGGCCTTGCGAGCTGCGAGCTGGCTCGGAGCAACCCCCAGGTCCTTTGCAATATTGGCGACAAAGGAGTCCCTCTCCATTTCCTCCGCCAGCGAATAGTGGAGGATTTCGGCCCCGCTCTGACACACGCCAACGCACAGAATAAACAAGATCACTTGCCTCTTGCTGCCTCCGCTCCGTCCCCCACACGCCATTACTCTCCAGAAAAGCCATCCACCGTCCTCCGTGGCTCCCAGCATTTCCAAGCAGCGTCCGAGGCAGAGCGGTGTTTCTCAGGAATCCCGGGGTAAGGGGATCTGAAAGCCCCCGAACACCCCGGCTCCGTGCCCCGCCACCCTTCCCGAGCAGCTCACACGGCTTTTTTGTCTCCCGGTGCCTGCAAACCCGTTGCGGGCGGAGGAACCTGCCGGTCCGTGGCCAACATCCCCACCCAGCGTCGCAAGGGGGAATATTTCCTCCGCCTTCTCATTCGGGGCAGACTTACTGATGCGGAGTGTGCTGCTTGAATCTGCACTCTCCGTGCTAAACCGAAGCCAAAAAGCGCATTGTAAATGCTCTCCTCGCTTGGAAGCAGGTTCCCTCCCCGCATACAGAGCGCTGCTCTAGGTATCGCTTCCCAGCTCACAACCGCCGACTCTTCATACACAGCTCTTGGTTTTCCTCTGTGTAATGTAGGCATTGCAAGATCTGCCACTTCCACATGCCTCGCGGGATTTTTCCTCTCTTCCTCACTTGTTAATCAGCACAGGACAGTTAGCAAGTGGGGCGGGTCAGAGAAGCACCGCTATTGAACATGAGAGCTGGTGCCAGGGGAAGGTCCCGAAAGCAAACGCTTCATCATCACCCTAGCTCACCATCACACTAGAATTATAATGCTGTTCTAGGACACATCATCCTAATGCTATTTTCTTCACGTTGTATATCACACCTCGCCCAAAGGACGCACAACCTTAACGCTTTTCTGTGTGAAAAGCGTTTTTCTCCTTAATTGACAGGAGTATCCTCCCTCGCCTGCTGACCCTTGCACCCATGATAAGGTGTGTCACAGCATAACACATTCGTGAAAAATGTCCCCAGCCCTACACAAACATCGAAATGTTGCAAACTGTTTTCGTGTTTTGGAGGTATACAGTGCTTTAGCTGCTCTAATGTTTCCACAAAGGCTTAGAAATACTTTAAAGGTCCCTGTACTCAGAGGTCAAACCTGAACGCCTGTACCTGTGTAAGGATACACGGCCAACAGATATTTAATACAAAAGGCAAGGAAACAAACAGGAGAGCTCATACATTAAACACCCAGATACACAAACGCTGAAGAGCAAGAGCTAACGGAGACAATAGCAAAGACCAGGGCTCTAACGACGCTGATCGATGGGCCATTAAAGGAAACATTCAACTGTAAACTCCAAGAGGTCCAACCATAAACTTCGTAAACGATAAGAAAAATAAAAATATTATCATGGATTATCAGAAAGGGTCTCATAGGAAAGAGCAAAGTGACTACGAGATGTTTGAGGGGGGGTTCTAGGAATACGCAAAGCTTATTATGGGACGATTAGAGGCAAGGTCAAACTCCGTAAAACGGAGAGGTCAAGAGTGGACCCGGGAGGAACAACCGTGGGGAAATGGAGGTGGGAGGGGAGAGCAAGGGTTCGGGAGGGGAGAGCAAGGGTTCCCGAGCACGGCCTGGTAGTGCGAGCCAGGATCCACGCCGGAGACCGGATAAAACCCCCAGGGTAAGGCACGCATCGGCGGCCCTGAGGATCGACTTATACCGCGACTGCTCCTGCGGACCCAGCGGCGAGCTCCGGCAAAAGCACACGCAATGTACTGGAGATGCGCACAGCTGCCTCCAAGAGCAGTCTTCCTCTTACAGAACACAAAAATGGAGGAGAAAACAAAATACAGCTTGCACTACATATTTTTGAGTCAAGCAATTTTAATCCAGCTTTTACTATAAAAGGAACCACGCTAATTTTTTATATAGAAAGTATCCTAACCTCCTTGGTTTTGACACCTTTCCTTTAATTTCCTAGCTGTTTTCTCCTTATTTTTATTTGCTAAAACGGCTGACACTGTGAAACAATACTCAACAGGATAAATCCTAGAAATTCGCTGATGCCTTCATTTGTTTTAAAACAAAAACTTCCTGACTGTATCAGTAGGAGAAAGTAACAACCAGGATTGACTTTAGGATTGTCCAGAATTTTAGCTCCTATAGGACCTTGCACGGATACAGCCATTTTTTGTGATTTCCTCTTATCGCCCTTTGACTTGGAAGCATGATAGCATCTAAAAGACTAACTTAGATCAAAGGCCAGGTCAGCTCTTCTTTTCTTCCCTTCCAGGGACGTGTCCATCTCTTGAGTTGCTATTATTATCACCATAGGCCAAGTACAGCATTAGATGCGTTGGGAATGTGGCTTCTCTTCTCATTCGTGCCATGCAAAAACAACGGCAACACTTGGAATCCATTTTCTTCGTGCCCTTGCCAGTGCTCCTGCTCAGCTCTTGGCACCTCCGAGAGAGGAAGGTGTATTTGATTCTCTGTAACCTCATCCCTGGCACCACTAAGCAGCAGGGAACAGACGCAAGCTGAGAAGAGCTTCCACAGACACTTCCCCCTCTGACTGCAGTAACCCTGTAATTGTTACTCCCCTCATTTCAGAAGGGAAGTTGTATCCTTCAGCTTCAGGTGTAGAAGGGTGTAAGAGGAACAGTGATCCTTAACGGAGCTCTTGGCTATCACAGTATCTTTGCACATCAGAAGGCGCTGCTCTTAGATTGAAGCTCATATTCTTTCAGATTTTAAAGAAGTGCAAAATAAAGAAGGTCACTTACCATGCACCATTGGATAGCTAATACTGGTGTTTTCTGTTGGGTCACAGCAATAAATGGATGTGTATGAGTGGAAAAAAGAAGTAGTATGTACACTGCCAGACGAAGACACACTGTGTTTTAGGACAGACTAAGGAACCATAGCCATAATAAGAATGTAATTTGCATAAATGTGTCAGAGAACTCATTTATCTCCTTGAGCACATAGTGATGTTGCAGACTTCTTCATTTTTTGGTTTAATGATAATGCCTGTATCCTGAGAAGGTAGCTTAAAATGACCGAAAACTAGTTTCCTCTTTACTCTGACATTTACATCAACGCTAGAAAAGAGCTCCAGACACATATTCTGCTCAGTTCCTGGTATACCTCCGTATTTCTGAACATGATGTTCCTAAAAGGGGATCCTCCGTGCATTTCTGCAGCCTGAGCAATTTCAGTCTTTCAGCCTGGCATTCAGATCCACCGAGTGAAATCTCAGAGGCGCCATGCCGGGTTTTGTTCCCTTCTGGATAAAGGCTTCTTCCCCATCCCTGGAGCCACTGCGCCTTCACCTCCAGCACACCCTGCGGATAGCATGGCTTCGGAGCAGTTGCCTGCAGATAAAAAACACAGATGCTTTCCCGAGTCACTGTGGTTTCCACACCCGAGTGCAAAGAGTGACCAATGTTCCCGTCCTCATTCCCAAACAGCTCCCAGGACAGGTTTCTTCTCTTGCCTCTAGTACTCAGACAGCGCCTGAATTCCCAGCTCTCCCGCGGAACTGTTGTCCTGAGCTCTCCGCTGGATGCAAATGTGAGGAATGACGGGGGAATTGTTCCCAACCTTCTGGCTTTCCATTATGCTGTAAATACGACTGGTACATATCCTATTTGTGGTTCATTTTCCGAGAGATAAACCGGCCTCCTTTTTCTGTCTGCATTCAGTCCAGTTAATGCTTTCCCCATCACTCCGTTAAATGTAAACATTTCTTTCTCGCGGTATTAAGTCGGTGCTTACCAACGAAGGGGCTCTGCCTGAGTCACCCCAGACCTGCGGCGAAATCCTCCCAAATATCCCAGGGATGAATCGTGGAATCAGAGGGCTGGGGACAGCCTGGGAGACTGTCTCCCTACTTCACATCCCCGATTCTGCCTTGTGCTCTCGGCGTTTCCAGACGGTTCTCGATGCGGCAATTCCTAGCACAACCCTTGGAAAGGCTTTGAATTAGGGCGTATTCCAGTGCAACCGGGACATTTCGGCTGAACTCTCAGCTAATGTTAGCCATGCAGCATCTGACTGGTGCTCACTGGTCTCTTCCCTGCTTGGGAGCTCCCCGTCCAGCAGCAGCGATACACGCACAGCACTGGCCAACAGCGGCACTGCGCGTCCAACGCAGGAACTGCACATGGGCGTCTACCCACGAGTCTCAGCACGCATCTCCTCCGTTAGGTTCTGGCTATTGCTAGGGCAAATTATGAAACACGTTTCCCACCTGAAGTTTTTGGCAAATAAACGCACTTTCCTAGTACTTTTGAGACATTTGGTTTGGTGTTAATAATCCAGGCCGGTATGGTACGTCTAGAAGGCATCCTATACAAACCTTCTTTAAACGTGCTTAACAAAGATGGAAGTTATGGGCAAATGTAGCAAGCATTGCTCATGTGTTGTGCACTACATCTTCCAGAAGTCAGAGAGACAATTGTGGCGTTTTCAAGCACAGGCTGGTTTCTATTTCACAAGGACATCTCCAACTGTTGTACGTCCTCTCCTAGAGTAATCTGAAGTTAAGAACCAATTTGGTATTAGTAGCAGCACGAGCCTCCACCACTCCTTGGATCAGCTGCAATGGATTTCCAAAAAATATCTTAAAGAAGAGTGCGCAGGTATTGCTCTGCAGGCAGATCTCCTCTCAGTCCAGTGACTCCTTTGCTGTCAGGACTCTGGTGTTTTGATTGAGGTGGAAATGTTGCTCATTCTCCTTGGACACAATGTGGACCACATTTCCTCCTAGGTAGCAGTACTTCCTTTCTACTAACATCAGTTTGTGAGGTTGTCTGCTCTAAACTCTCGCCTGCATACCTTCCAACTTCAAAGAACAAAGGGAAGTTACCTGCTTCAAAAGTCTGAGTTCACAAACCTTCTCAGAGACAGTCTGCACTCTCCAGTCTCCAAAGTCAATGCTGGACAGAAGACACCTGCCAGATGTCTACCCAGACCTTTTCCATCCTGCATCTTTGAAGACAAGGAATTCTTGTTCTCTTCTCTCTAGCCATGACAATCTCAGTACTTCTCATTTGAAAATAAATCCTTCGCCACTTCATCACTTTGCTACTATGAATACCTTTGAAGCCAACTAATTATTCTCATCTCCGTAACCTTTGTCCTCAGTGGCATCCAGTTTTTCCATCCTCAACCTCACTCCTAGGTCAAATACACAGGAGACAATTTTCTTCATAAATCCCTAGAACCATGTGTTTTCTTGTGTCCTGAGGTCTCAAATGGCCCACAAATAATATTTTAATTTCTAGCTCTAAGTTGATGCATTTTGTGGGGGAAAATGTCATCTATTGATTTTTTTTTCATGTTCTTGCGTCCAGTTTCTGTATAACTCCTTCCATGGTTTCCCACAGTGGCTATTTCAGTTGACTAGGAGGAGATACACACGGAAAGTCACATTATGAACAGTCAAGCAGCACAAGATTGTTAGGCAATTCAAGTCCACTGTGTGAATAATCTTGGCTTTCCATGTGCTTTTCATGAAGCAACAAAGGAGAATAAGATTATTTTCTCAGTGACATTTGGATAGCCTTGAAAAAGAGACTTCAGGGACAGAAGTCCCACACAAGCATTTCATGAACAAAACCAAGAAACTTCCAGCTTATGAAGAAATGTTTCTACAATTGGCTACCTGAAGATAATGGCTAGAAGTGATTAAAGGAAAACAGTCAAGCAATATAATAAGAAAGTGAGAAATAGCCAGACTGTATGTTGTTCTGGGCACAGAAATAGCATATTTTATCTTTAATGGACAGGACAGGAAGGAAAAGATATGGGGAGAGTTTGGCCTTGGACAGACTAATTTTGAAATTCTAGCTGGTCATCTGAGGAGAGAAACAGGGATTCAGCTGAGAGGCAGATGTGGAAGTGAAGGAGAGAAAGGGAGAGCAAGAGCTGGGGATAGCAATGGTTAGAGGAGGGGAAGTTGCTATGCAAGAGTGGCCAAGAGAGGACAAGCATGAACCTGTTTGGTGGACAAGGCTGATCAAGGAGGGTAAGGACAGAGAAATACATGTAGGATCCATCCTGAGAGCAATTTAGGAGGAGCTTGTTGATGTAGCACCTCTAAGAAAAGAATCAGAATGGGCATTAGTAAAGGGAAAGTGGAGTCCAATCAGCCAGAGTGAAAAGGGTATGGGGAATTCTGGAGAAAAGCAGGAAGGGCAGTAGATGCAGTTGAAGGCAAAGCAGGTGCATGGATAAGAAAGGAGCTAAAAATTGACGCAAAGAAGGAAGAAACAAAACAGTTAAGTATGAGAGGAAGGTAGGAGGAAGAAAGGCCGAGATACAGTCCTTTAGGTTTGTGTTTGTCTTTCCCCATTTTCAGTGTCTGATTTAGGACCTAGACACCCTCTTTTCCATCTTTCTCCCTCAGAGCATCTCTCTTTCTTCTTGGGGAGCAAGAAAATTATCAGAAGGTGTCGTGGTTTAACCCCAGCCAGCAATTAAGCACCACATAGCCACTGGCTCACTCTGCCCCAGTGGGATGGGGGAGAGAATAGGAAGACTAAAAGTGAGAAAACTCATGGGTTGAGATAAAGACAGTTTAATAGGTAAAGCAAAAGCCATGCGCACAAGCAAAGCAAAGCAAGGAATTCATTCACTACTTCCCATGGGCAGGCAGGTGTTCAGCCATCCCCAGGAAGGCAGGGCTCCATCACGCGTAACGGTTACTTGGGAAGACAAACGCCATCATGCCAAATGTCCCCCCCTTCCTTCTTCTTCCCCCAGCTGAAGCTGAGCATGACATCATATGGTATGGAATAGCCCTTTGGCCAGTCTGGGTCAGCTGTCTTGGCTGTGTTCCCTCCCAGCTTCTTGTGCACCTGGCAGAGCATGGGAAGCTGAAAAGTCCTTGAGTGGTGTAAGCACTGCTTAGCAACAAGTAGAACATCAGTGTGTTATCTACATTATTCTCATCCTAAATCCAAAGCACAGCACTATACCAGCTACTAAGAAGAAAATTAACTCTATCCCAGCTGAAACCAGGACAGAAGGTGTCAGCAAACCAAAGGGAACCCTAATATCTCAGCCAGTTTAACAGGATGAAGTCCCCAGAGAAAGCAAGCATCAGTGCCCAACTTTCTGTCTCCTGATACCAGGCTTAGCCTATCTTCAAGCCAAGTTCTCAGTTCTGTAACCCTTGGATGTAATGAACATACTGAGAAGGTGGAAACACATGGCCCAGTGCCACCTAAAAAGGAGGTCAAAGGAAAAGTGATTCAAGCACAACTTCATGGACAGCGTGGTCACTGCCTGGAAGGAAAACAGAGCTTCTGAACTGAGGCTTTCAAAGGAGACAGAGAAATCACAGGAGTTGTCATGTTTACTCATGTCACAGGTGAACAGAGAGACAGGTCAACATGAGGGGATCACCCCCCACTTCATGTCTAGTGCTTCTGAAGATACAGTGACCAGTCCAGTGGTTAACTAAGTGGCCAGCACTGTTCGTAAACTAAACCCAGCTAAATGATAAGGGCTGTATAACCCCAGCATAAGAGAAACCTGGCCGATGCCTTACAGAAGCAGCAGACTTCCTGTTTTGGGAGGATACCTGGGAAAACAAAGGCTTTGTTTAACACCTGCTTCTCTGCCCTCAGCTGCACGTCCCTTCCTCTCACATTATGGTTCCAGAAGCAACTGCAGATAAAGCACCCTCCAGGATCACAGGATGACCCTTGTGTCTCTGACACAGCTAAACCATTCCCAGAAATACAGGGTGACCAGTGAACTTTCTGGGGCATCTTTTACACCAAGTAGTGAGATTTAGGCTCTAAGTAGCCTAACATACCCTTCTATCTATCTTGACTATTTTGTTTTATACCTGTTGTAGCTTGTCAAAGCTGAGCTGTGAAAAGTCATCTTTCTGTTGGACAATGTTTTGACATGCTCTGCACTGTTGACCAATGACACATAGATACTCTGAAAGAAAGGAGACTTCCAGAGCAGAAAATATCCATCCTGTGGGGAGACATCCAGAAAGGGTTTATTCACTGTTTAAGCAACAGACATATACTCACACCAATATCACATTTACTAATGAAGTGGACACACTGGCAATGAAAAACTGAACAGCAACTTAAAGATAGGTGCACACACACAATTCCTAGTGAATAATTACAAAGCATACAGCTATGAAAGCAATGCATTTATCTGAAGGTGGATTACAGCTAATTTACTTTTGAGAGAGTTTATACCTAGACAGGTGCAGCGCGCCTCTGATGTCAAGGTTCTTCTACTGCTGGGTTCATAAATCTGGAAAAAAAACCAAAACCAACAACCAAATAAAACAATCAACCAAAAAAGATAAAAAAGTAAGGTAATCTATTTTTATATTAAAGATACTGGATTCCATCAATGATGGGGAGGGCTAATTGAAAACAACCTGTAGTTCATGAACACTCTCACATATGAAAATATTATCTGCTCAAACCTACCCAAAAAGGTGATGAGACTTGGACAATCACTTAAATGCAGGGTTTTTTTTTGTCCACCAACAAGTCAACCGCTGCCCGGAGCTCTGCCCCGGGAGGAGCAGAGGCAGAGGGGTCGGATCCGGCTGTCCCGTCCCTGGCTCGGCAGGCGGGGGATCTTCTGCTGCAATTCCCGCTCTGCGCCGGCAGAGGGCAGCAGCCACCAGGGCAAAAACCCAGTCGCGAATTTGCAAGTCACGGAAAGGAGCGGCAGAAACTGGCTTGGAAACAACAGGGGTCGGCAGCAACTGGGGTTCGGCTACGGCAAGGGACAGAATCCCCCGAGAGAAGCAGGCCCTCTTCCTTCTTTCCTTCCTTCCTTCTTTCTTTCTTCCTTTCTTTCTTCCTATCTACCTATCTTTCTTTCTTTCTATCTTTCTAACTATCTCTTTCTTTCTTTCTTTCTTTCTTTCTTTCTTTCTTTCTTTCTTTCTTTCTATCTAGCTATCTTTCTGTCTATCTTTCTATCTTTCTCTTTCTTTCTTTCTTTCTTTCTTTCTTTCTTTCTTTCTTTCTCTCTCTCTCCCCCTCTCTCTCTCTTTCTATCTATCTATCTATCTATCTATCTATCTATCTTTCTATCATCTATCTTTCTATCTTTCTATCATCTTTCTATCTTTCTATCTTTCTATCTTTCTATCTTTCTTTCTATCTTTCTTTCTATCTTTCTATCTATCTATCTGCATCCTTGTCCACAGGAGCTGGCTCCTGTTGTGCTACTTGGTGCACGGGGAAACAAGCACACACTCAGATCCAGGGAAACAAGCTCAGATCGAGAGAGTTTTAGACTCAAAGCAGGAGGCTGGAGAGAAAGGGGAATTACGAGGTCATCAGTGATGTAATGAGATTGTGAGGGGGGACCCGGCACTCTGGACTGAGCTGGGTTTGGGAGGGGATATAGGTTATGCAGCAACATGGGGATCATTTTATCCCTTGAGGTCCCTAACACTGGCTTTCTGCCCTTGACACAGATAAAAAATGAAATTGCAGTAGTATTGAGCAGTGTGCTGGTTCCCCCTGGCACTGGGACTACAGGGCAAGTGAGGACAGCAGCCAGCTTAAACCCTTGGAATCAGGGTTGGAGACACCAGGGCTGAATAATCTCTTAACTTCCTTCCCTGTCAGGCCAGAGCGTACTTAGTGTAGAAAATATTTATGCCATTTTAAATATGCTTAAAGAATTGTGTTCACATTCATTACTACGTGTTTGTCATCTGTTTTAATCTTTACAGAAGACAAAGAAAGGGGATACAGACACCTATTTATAGAGAGAGACAATTATTAGGAATTGATATGTATATTATTTCCAATCACACACCTCAATTTAAAGTGAGATTCACAGGTTTGTCCACGACTGATTTATTCATTTTAAATACCTTAAAGAAAATACACCTTTAAAAGTTTAAACCAAAATTTTAAAATAAGATTAGTGATGTGGAGGCATTTGAGATCAAGAAGTTTCAGCCAAGGCACAGTAAGCAAATCTGATTTGCAAGCATATCGTGCACTACTGTAAATCTCCCATTCAGATCCTTAAGGTACAAGCAAAATAGTTTTTGTCTCCTTTTTTCTTCTTTTAAAAATGTTTTCTGCAAACCAAATAAATAGAGAAAGCCAGCAGTACACAGTGCTATTTAATTTCTGCTGAAGATCAGTTTATTGTTCCGTTTTACTTGGGCTGTACAGTTTTAGTCCTCTAGTCCTTGGGCTGTACCGTTTAATCCTCTAGTCCTCTAGACTTGCAAATGCAAGTCTAGTTAGGCAAAGATATTTGAAATGTAAATGGACAGTGTGCTCTGCATTGTGTTAGAGGAAAATGAATTTGTATACTTCAAATTAGGCAGGTACATAATATTTCCACTGCTGAAGAAAATTAAATGTAGAGAAAATGTGTGTCTTACTCAATTTCACCAGTCATCATGTGTGCAGTTAAGACTAGCCCTGAAGGCCCACATGATGAAAGACTACTTAAAATATGTCTTAACTGGAAATTAAGGACAGATTTCTTAAAGTGTAATCCTGAAAGCCCTGTTCCATGTCTCCTGAACTTAGAGATACACTCCTGAAGAGCATTAGCTCTTTAACTGTAGAGGTCTGTAAGCCCACAAAATTCTGCTTCTGCATGTGCGGACGTGTCCTGACATTACCAAGCAAGTTGTTTTTTCCTTTAAGTGCCCAGGTGGTGTCCAGAAGTTTGTGATCCCATGTCTGTCTTCCAGAAGGGATTGGGTTCACTTGGCATTTAAAGGGCAGACTTTGTGCAGAGCCTATGCAAAATGCAGTGTTGCTATGCAAACTACAGTGCTTGTTTTTAAAATGCTAAAATGGAGAAAAATACTGTATCATCCCCTTTTTCTCTGATACCATCCCATGTTTAATGTTTCAGAGTTAAACTCTGCCTAAAAGTGTTCAAACTCACCTCTGGATATCAGGTGATAGGAACTTTGGCATGGAACTGGAGTGATTCTTACCCTTCCTCTCAAAACATACATTATATTCATTAGCAGCTGGTAGTTAACAACTGAATCAGGATCTTTTTGCTTCCTCATTTTATTTCTTTCATCTACTTCCTTCTGTTGCTTGATATATTAATCAGGGTAGCTAAAGAAACAAATGCTCAAAAAAAAACCCAACCCCAAAACCCGATACAAAGTCATGGTTGACTCTGAGAAAGGTTAAGAATTAATATGGGCTGCCTGTGTGAATAAGAAGCATGTCCCTTAAGTTGAACTTTTTAATCCCAAACCCAAGTTTAAATGTGTATCCTTCTGAACACATGGGAAAAAACAGCTCTGTGCCCAGTTCACAATCATCTGCCATTCTGAGGGTAAAACCAGGGTATTGGATACAGTGAGAGGAACAGATAAATGTTCATGACATTGTTGTTCAGTAGATGGAGTACGAGTTACTTTTACCTAAAAATGCTAAACGAAGAGACTCCTAGCTATCCAGTCTCTCTGTTTATTAACACTTCGCACTAAATGCACATAACAGAAAGACATCAGAAAAACTATTTGGCAAAACCTTTAAGCTGAACAGAATAAACCTGTGCAGTGAGTCTTGCTTTGTACATAACCTTCACATGCATCACAAACAAAACATCAGAAAAATGAAGATAGATGCTGAACTGCACACATAATTGAGTTCCAGCATCACTAGGATACAGCAAAAATTTTCTTCAAGGCAGTGTTGCCTAAAGGTGGACTACAAAAAAAAAAAAAAGGCAAATATGATAATAGCCTTTTAATTTACATAGCATTCGGACAAGCTGATTGATATTTTAACTTGCTCACTCTCCTTCTTACCTCATTGATGGCTTAAATGTTCTCCAGCTTCAGAACAGTGAGGCACAGCTGCCTGAAAATACAGCTTCCACAAGGAAATATCCAATCTATTCCAGGGTGTTGCAAAGGAGAAAACCAGTGAGGCCTAGTAACAACAATAAAAGGTGGATTAGAGCAGCAGCTATGTGATAAGACTGGGAAACTAATTTATTATCTTTCAAAACAACAAAAAATAGGTTTCTTTGTAGTTGAGGGGGAAAGTAAGAAATTCTGAAGACCACAAAGTAATAATCTATTAATATTGTCAGTGTCTGTTAGGCAGCTTCTGACATACTGTCTTTAAGAACAGATAATTATTTTAAGAAAAAGATGTCAGATTCTGAAACATGCTGCTGCTTTCTGCTGTTATATAGAAGCCATCCATCTGTCGTCAAGTTTGTCAATAGTTTGAAATCTAGCTGTAACTTTACCACAATGCACATACCGTGTATACCATTCGGGAGCAGTTAGCATGATATGGGACACAAATTTTAGTCAGAGATACATGAGCTATCCTGACCCCATCAAAAAGGCCAATGCCAGTATGGAAGATGCATCACATAATGCGTCCTTCTGCATGTGTTGTAGGATATTTCTAAAGCTTCTAAAGCTTTAAAGAGACCTTTGCTTTGTACTAAGATGATGATTAAGAGGTATAATGAAATGTTGTCCAGCAAACAGAAGACATTTATAAACGCCAGGCAGATAACAAGCAATGGGTCCTCAAGAGAAATAAGAAGGAATTGTAAGAGATTATCAGAACGGTGTTATCATAGCTGAATCAATCAAAACCCTAAAGCTTCCCCTGGGAATAAACTGTTGTGAGCTGACAGCAAATGGTGAAATCAGAAAACCTTTTTCCCCTGAAAAAGTCCCAAACAAAAAAAACCCCAACAAGCTGGTTAACTACCAATCCACTCAAATATTCAAATTAAAAAGACTTTATATGAATGGTCAAATGAATTTCTTCAAAAAGCCAAAGTACTGTTATAACAAAAGCTCTTCATGCATCTTTTGAAGTTTCACATCAAATTGGGGGGGGGGGGGGGGAAAAGGGAGAAGAAACCTTTCCTATTGGACAGACATTTGCACTTGCCTCTGAAATAAAAATGTGAGAGATTATACACAGTTAAGAATATGATCAAGCTTGGAAAGTGATTCTTCTGTCAGTTAATGAAACAGTGAGACACTGAGGACATTTCAGAGGACTGCAGGTACTGGTTTCTTAGCCCATGGGAACAAAATCCTAAGACTATTTTGAAGCTTTCTGAATTAACATTGTAAACTTCCCTAAATGCATTGATCTACATATGCTATAACCAGAGTAGAAAATGTATTCATAAGACTTTTCTTATGTACTTTCACAGGGAAACTGGAAATGGCATTTTTTAATGAGGTAGTAATTTTCTACATTCTTAGGACCCTTTAGCATCTTAGGTCTTCTTTTATTTATTTTTTTTTGTTTCTTTCTTTCTTTCATTATCTGAATGAATGAAGAATTTAAGACAGAACACAGGAAAACCTCTGAAAGAAAATTAGGGGAAAACACTGTACATTTCCATGTCATTCATTACATCTTACCTATAGATATCCCCTTGCCAGAAAGAAAAGTGAGATAGAAATTCACAGATTTTGTTCAAGTGAGTGATATTCTGAACGAGGCCTCTAAAGATATTCCTTTGCAAGGATAGATGATCCCACCGTGAGTCTTCTGTTCTTCACAACAGTTACAATGGCTGTTGAGGGGCAAGACATTTAATCAAATATTTAACCAAAACAGAATAGACTACAATTTGGCTCTTAGCTTTGTGACTAAGTAGCTGAACATTGCCAAAGGCCAAATTTTGCAGACATTCACTAACCATAACCATGTGATCCATTATTTTAAAAATTGTTGTAGAAGTATATGTCAGTTTAAACTTGATATTTTGGTGGTTAGGCCAAAAATGCTCATCATTCTTTGGAAGAATATGCATGAAAGCGACAAGATAGCCATGCTGGCAAAGATTACATATTACACAGCAAAAGCACCCCATATTGTGGGTTCCTTCACTTGCTGCTCCATGAAATACATATCTATAATTTTTAAATATTTAGGTGGTGGCTGTATCAATGCTGAGGACCACCCTGACCTTGCCTCTACTGCTTTTGTCCTGCCAGTCCCTTAGAGATTTCCTGGTTCTTGTCATGGATCCCCATAATCCCCACTCAGACATCCAGCAACAAATTTACCATTGCTTTGCTCCTGCCTTTCTTCCAGTGCTGGGAGGTCCTCTGTTACAAGTATTATTGGATTGCCTAGTCAGAATAAGATTTCTGAAGGGGATCCTGCATAGAAAGCATGTCAAGAGGTTCAGTTGGCGTGGCCCTTACCACCCTTCCTAGAGGGTCCCATATCAGTGTCGATTCCTCATGGATGCTGCCAGGTCATCGGAAGGGCAGGAGGGGACCGCTTGGTGGAAGCTGTGAGGTCCAGTCACCTCTGAAATGGCACCTCCAACATGCCAGCTCAGGCACACCAAGCCAGTGATCTGTATCTTGAAGATACTGCTGGGGCACAATTACAGGACAGAATGAGCACACCAAGTGACATTAAGTGCTTAAATAGAGGTGCCTGGTGCTATTCAAGGTAAAATACAGCACAAGGTACCTAGTGTATATATACATAGCATATAGGATGCCTGGCCTTGTCTTCAGTGCCAGAAGGACAGGACATGTTACATCTTCCAGTCCTCTGTGGATATCCCAGTTACTGTTGCATACTGGCTACCAACCAGCAGGTAGAGGAGTCTGCCTTGTTGTTTCTAAAACACAATTACTGGACTTGGACACAAGGGTAAACATGTAGCAAAAGTCACAAGCAAGGGGAAAGAAGTGTTTTCAGCCATCAGCAAAGAGAAGAAGCAAACAAGTCAATCCCCCAGTTCCTACCGTATCATATTTACTACTTTCTTCTAGATACTCCTCTATTATGTGGCAACAGCTTAAACTCTCATCACAAGTCTAATGAGAGTGCAGCTTAATGGAAAGCAGATTATGTCAAAGAGATTTGGTATCTTTGACAAGATTACAAATATGAATGATAACAGAGACTGTACTGCTGATATAGTATAATCAGACTTTTGTAAGACTTCTGGCTTTATGCCTTTAACATTCAGATAAAAAAGTAAAAACAGGAGCACCATGGAAAATCAGAATGGCACATACTGAATCAAATTAAATTTGTCAAGTTGATAGTCTCACTGCAATTAATGTGGATGCATGAAATAATTGCAATTAAACTAGTAATGTCATATAAAGACTTTCTCTTGTGTTCTTATATAGTTATAATCTTCTTTTGCAATGATATAGGGATATAATTATAGTGTAAACATATATTTGTTCTTGAAAAGTTTTCAGGTTATATAAATATTGGGATGGTGATAAACAAGAAAGCCAATGAGCAGTTCACAGAGCTGTGGAATGCTTGGTATGGCACACCAAGGCACTTTTTAATACAATAAAACACAATGTCATTCCTGCAGGAACAAAGAATCATATGCGGAGACCAGTCTCTGGACAGTGCTCCAGAAACGTCTGGCTCTGGACAGACTGAAAATTTCTATAGACAATCTCTTGACCACCACTGGGAAGGCTAACATGGATTATTACGGAAGAACACTGAATAGAAATACAACATTTCTTCGATAGAAACTGTTGTAACACAACCTCCATGTGTGCACTTAAAAACTGTTGGTAGTTCACAGAGGAACAGCAAGAGTGATAACTGGTCTAGAGAACAGGACACAGAGACTGAAAGAACTCCAGTCTCCAACTTAGCATAGTGAAGTTATAGGTGGTTTGATCAGACTCTGATGAACAGATATCGATTAGATGGCTCTTTAACCTAGCAAGAACATCTGACATGTCCCTGTTATGATCCAGAAGTTTAAAGAAATGAAAACATGGAATAAAGTACAATTTATAACACCAAGAGGACATGGCCAAGGCATACGGTGTGTTACCTTTCATTTGATACCTTGAAGTCAATAAGGTGAGGTCTTTCTAAAGATAGTTTGTAATTCTGTCACAAGTTTGTGGTCTTGTTGCAGGGAGCAGTGGATACGAATATGCAGTGTATGCCATGCACCGAGCAGACTAGATGATCACAAAATTCATCTTGCATCTGTGAAATATATCCATTGGTATCTAACATGCTCCAGGTTATATATCACATCTTCTGTATTTAGCCTCTCCACATTTGATTCCCAAATACCACGTAACTACTAGCTTTCAAAATCATCTAATCTTTTAATTAACACTCAGATTCCCCAGCAATTACATTTTTAAACATAATGAACCAAATTCAGCTTTTACTCTGCTTTGTGCCCTGGATGTTTTCACAGAAGTTACTGAAATAACAAAGATAAAACAAAGTTCAAACTTCATACCTTTGGAAACAAACACAAGTCTCTTTTCTTCTGGTCAAGACATATGTGAGCATCAGATGTTGTGTGAGTCCATTTCCCACAGGGTTCTTTCAAATGACAGACTCACCTCTGTGCTATCCCTCAGGGACTGCATACATGTGTATTAAGTAGAATAAGTTAGTGTGGTTTTTGGTTTTTTTTATTTTGTCATTTTGGAAATACCGCTTTTCAATTCCAGTTGTCTTCTGAAGAGTAGATATCCTACTGATCCCCTAACTATATTTGGTTCTGCTATATTTTTTTCCTTCGAGATCTGCAGAGCCAGCTCTGCTCTGTCTGTTCAGTATCACAAATATCAACTGAAGTGTTAATGAAGATGCATCTGCAGGGCCAGATGCTGGCCTTAGTAACAGCTGTATCCAGCTACTTCCCTGTCTACCATTTTATATTCTGAAGTTACGATCTTTCAGAAGATAAATATCAATGTGATGTGTTGTATATTATCTTTCCTGTTGTACCTATCCACCAGACAGTGCAAACAGTCTGACTTTAATCAGAAATGGTGTTTCCTGGCAATAGAAAACATACTTCTTCTTGCTTATATTAGGAACATATTTGATCTCTGTTCAGTCAGACAGTCAACACGGAATTCTTAAATCCTGCATTTCCGTCATTGCTTTTTAAAGTGAAATATGAGTTTAATCTGCCTTAACTGGAAGAGGAAAGCCTTTGACATGTCCGTTGTCACTACACCACTTGCCCCATTGAGCAGTGGGCCCCTATTTTTCTTAGCCTTCTTTTGCTGTCAATGTTCTTCTAGGAGCCTTCTTGTTGCCATGATATCACTCACAGGTTCCCACTCCAGCTCAGCTTCAGCTACATTAACTTGTCCTCAGCACAGTCAAGTCAGGTTTCTGTATTCTTTTTGAGCAGTCTGTCCCCACTTTTCACTGTGTAACTCCTTTTTGCATCTGAGCTCAGTTAGGAGTTTGGTTTCAAGTTGGTTTATTCATGCTGGTTTCTACTATGCCTCCTTGACTTGCCATGT